AACCTTTTTTAAAAAAAGGTTAGCAAGAAAACTTTTTAAAAAAAGGTTAGCCAAAAGACTTTGTATAGAACACTTCGAATACTAAAAAAAACTTTTCAGGGCTGTTCTTTTTGCCACCCATCATGGCGGATATAAAATTTTGCGGACGTTTGGCGTTCATATAAATATCATGAATTGAAATAGAGAGATAATGTTACTGTGAGAATAGAATAAAGTGATGTTGTCTGCAAACATAATAGTAGACATAGTATTTGATGCTTTATATAGATCGTTGACATAAGATGGAGCCTTGTGGAATCCCACATGATATTTTAAGTTTGTTTGTCTAAAAACCGTCATTTAGAGAAAAAAAACTGCTTTCGATCAGTTAAGTAACTGATAAACCATTTATGGTAATTGTGGCTTATTCCATAATATTTTAATTTTTCTTATAAAATCTGATGGTTAACGTTTTTGACATGTATAGGAATATACCTAAAGTGAATTTTTTATGAGAACATTCTCCACTAATAACTTCAACAAGTTGCATAAGTGCATGTTCCCTAGAGTAATTTGATCGAAAACCATATTGGTTATAATAAAGTTGTTATCATTCAAAAATGCAAATACCTCAAATTTATATTATTATACTAATAATATAAATTTGAAAAAACAGGTAACACCGATATAGGTCGATAATTTGTAACCAGACTTTCATCTCCTGATTTAAAAATGGGTGTAATAATTGCAACTTTCAGTTTATCTGAAAAAACACCCGTTTTAAGCGATTTATTAAAAATATCTAATAAAACATCTTTAATAAGTTCATAGCAGTCTTTGATTATGCTTGCTGAAATAGAATCATAGCCTGTTGCTTTATTTATATTTAGTTTTTTTATTGAGTCATCAAGTTCTTTACTAGTGAGATTTTTAAATGCTACGCTTTTATCAGACTTCGATAGATAGTTCAAAAAATGTGCAGGAGTGTGTTTAATTTTACTGGCCAATATTTAAAAAATTTTTTTGGACCAATATTAACGAAAAACTCATTAAATTTTGTTGCCACCGATTTTACATCAGAGATCTGTACCGTTTACTGTAATCACGCTTGGTAAGACTTTGTTGAGTATTTTTTGTTTTCCAAGAATCTTTTTAATAGCATTCCTTGTTTTTTTCCAGTTACCTTTTAGTTCTAACAGCTTGTTTTTGAAGTATGTAGTAATGGCTATTTTTTTAGTTCTTTCACATAGACGTTTGTGCTCTAAGTAATTATGCTTATCACGTTCTTTCTTTGATTTAATAAAGCGTATATATGGCTTTTGTTTTTGCTTCGAAGACTTTAAAAGGTTTTTAGTGAACCAAAGATTAAAAAGTCTTTTAGTTTTAATACGGCTTGTTTTATTAGGAAAATGCTTATCGTACAAATCGAAAACTTTATCTAGAAAAAGGTTGTAGCTGTTATTAGCGCATATCTCGAGAAAAACAAAGTTCCAATTTACAGTTGATAGTTCTAGTTTAAATATCATTTAATTTGGGAGCCTAACCCCCAACTAAGCCTCCCTCTAAAAAAAAGGTCTCTTCAAAATTTTTGATTATATTTCTCATATATAATTGTTATTAAGTAGTCCAGCTTTTGTTTCTTAAAATATATTTTTTTGTGTTTTCTTTTGCAAACTCTTCAATCACATCATGGAAATCAAGATTTTGTGCTAATAAACATTCAATACTCAAAATGGCAAGATTACTTGTTTGTTCCCAGCGGATACTAATTTAATTAAAAAAAAAAAAAAATAGAAATAATGCAGTAGAAACATTTGGCATTCTAGTTATTCTTCCAAATACAGAAGATATAAGAATATTGTGTTCACTTAAAAATTATAAATGGGGATTAAATTCCCTCCATTTATAACCCCTCCCCAAACCTATTGTAATGTTAACGTAACCACCACCGCAAAAACAATACGCAATATAAGAACATTTATTGTTGCGTCTTCTCTCCCAACTATTATAACCTGTAAACACTTCAGTTAGACAGGCGAAATTATTGACATAAACCCAAAACGTAATCGTTAAATAAGTTATTATGCATATATTTATTGCTTTCAGAGTATAATTGTTCGTCAGTTTGCGAGGTTCTAGGAAAAAAAAACCTAGCCCTAACCCTAACCCTGACGAACTGCGAACTGGTAAAATGTAAACTTTTTTGCGAACCATCGCAGTTAATTTAGTGGTATATTTTAAGGACCATTAAGCATCAGAATTATTAAAAAAAAATGAAAGGAAATTAAGTGAAACTAGACGAATACAATATGAAAATATATATATATATATATATACATTTTTTAATTATTTGATAGACTGCCTGCCCAAACCAAACTCTCAGTCGATGTAGCAGCAATCCGTTGCGAGTCAGGCTATTTGTCAGTCGATGTAGCAGCACTCCGTTGCGAGTCAGGCTATAGGATAGTCGATGTAGCAACACTCCGCGCATGTTTTACAGTTAAAAAATAAATTTTTTATTTTAAATAAAGCTTTAAAATAGATAATTAAAAATTGCAGAGTTTTTTATTATTATTATTTTTATCATAAAAGTAAAGTCTTTAATTTTTGTTTCGCAAAAAAGTTCGCATTTTACCGATTTACAGTTCGCGGTTCGCAGTTCGCATTTTACCGACAACCGAGGAATTGACATTTTGATGAAAAATTAAGTATTTTATAAAACTATTTAAAATATATAAATATAATTATTTTATTGATAATTTTAAATTGAAAAAAAATTTTATAGGGCGATGTTTTAAGTTTAAAAAATTAAATTAATTTTTTACATTTTTGTAACAAAAAAAAAATCAGTTTCACACAAAAGAGTTCGAATACTAAATTTAACAATATTTATTTAAGAACAATAAAATGTATTAAAAAATATTTATTTAAAATTGTATAAAAAAAACTTCAGTATTAAATTTAATGAATTTAAACTAAGTTAAATAATTCCAAATTTCGTACAAAAACCTCAACATTTGAAATCATTCAACTGTCATTCTGTTTCGCTTTGCATACAAAGTGTTTAATGCGTCAGAGAAAAGGCGTTCACTAGGTGCACTCGTAGCAAGCGTATATAAAATTATTGTTGAAATACAATATAATATTGGAAACACATGTTAATTTTAGCAAAGTACACTTTTGGCATCAAATTTGATGCCAAAAGTGTAGAAACATTATGTTGATTTCATTTACTAACAATTTTATATAACCACTAATTTCTTTTTTTAAATCTAAACTTATTATTTTTTCACTATCATTTCCGGAACATCATCTTCATCGTCATATAATAACTTAAATTTTTTTTGATTTGATTGTCACCTTTTTAACTGGAATTATATCACAGACTATTTTTGTCAAATGAAATTCCGACAAAAACTCTAACGTATTTTAAATATTTTTTTCTCGTTTTTTTTCAAAGAATTGAAAACTTTTTTAATTTGGATCCAAAAAAGTGGCACATAATAAAAACGAATTATTGTAATATACTGTAGCTTACAGGGCCAGCACAAGTAGGTAACACGCAGAGAGCGCCGTTAAAATTTTAGCTGACTAAAAAAAGGAAAAAAAAAACATTGTTTTTTTAAATTTACCAAGTGACTGTTCTGAAAATCTACATTTGCCAACTCACTTATCTAAGTGTCAAATTGGATTACTAAATGAGCTAAAAGTTCATTGATGGGATGTCACACACAAAACCAACCACCTCATCCCCTCATTCCTTTGCGCTGGCCTTGGTAGCTTATTCAATTCTAAAGATATTTGTGTTTTACCATGTTTGCTTTTTGGATTTTTTATGAAATATTTTCTTGAAGTATCTTGTTAAACCTTCGGTACTAAAAATTGAAAGAAAATTATTTTTACTTTTTTTTGTTTTTGTGGTATTATGCGGTAAAATGATCATGCATTAGCAAACTTATTCAAAAATTCTAATAGAAATGATATCATGAACCTAAACTATTTATAATATATATTTATAAATTTCTTTAGTTGTACTAAAAACAAAGTCGGGTATATTTAGTTAACTAAAAACTTAGTCGGTTAATATTAGTTAAATAAAAAGTTAGTCGCCTAATTATAGTTGCACTAAAAAGTTAATCGGGTAATTTTAGTTAGCTAAAAAGTTAGCCAGGTAAGTTTAGTTAACTAAAAGATTAATCGGATAATTTTAGTTAGCTAAAAAGTTAATCGGGTAATTTTAGTTAACTAAAAAGTTAGTTGACTAATTTTATTCACGGTTTTTTTAGTTTAGTTAGTTACAATTTTTAGTTTTGGTCACAACACTAGTAATAATTTGCATAAATTAGTAAATAAAGTAAGGAATATAGTAAGATATTATTTTTTGATTTATTTAAAAATTTAAAAATATGCTCGTGTCTGTTAATTCAAGCAAATATTGTTTAACTTTATTATTAAAAGAATGTACTGAAGTTACATTTTCAATACTTTTATCAAGAACTATGGAACATAGATAAGGCTTCCTCTCTATGAAATAGAGTAATCTGTTTTTTAAAGAGTTGGCTTTGGTGAAGTTGTAGGTAGTGCCTCTCATTAAGTAATTCATTGCTTTTAAAAATCGACGAAGTAAGTAGCTTCACATAGCAGTTCCTGAGATGAATGGCTGCAATTAATGAATATGGCTTTGGTAATGACAAGGAGAATTTCCCTTAGGGAATTTCTCTTTTCATGATGATAAGATCCCTACGGCACATTTTATACAAGAGTCTAACAACTAACACTAATACAAGATTCTTAAACATGTTTAGGGAGATTTTTTTGTGAAAGTAAATGGATAATTTTTTTTGTGGATAATTTTTTTTGTGTGTGAAAGTAAATGATTTATTATATTTTGTAAAACCTTCTTAAATCTCCTTCTCAAAGGAGGAGGCTTAAACTTCGTTCTATTCTATGCTGAGAACGTAGGTTTATATAGAGCACCTTAAAAACTATATATAAAAAAAAGGGACAAAAAAAGAGAAATGTGAATAGTGCTTTTTAAGCTAATATATTATACTTTGTATTTAAAGTATTTAAAATTTAAATCTTTTAAACAGTTATTTTTCTCTACTATTCAAAAACTTTTTTATATCTTCGAGGCTACGAAAATCTTTTCCACGGTACTTAATGAACAACTCCTCAATATTTGAAAAACAAATCCATTTATAAATGTCTTCAATGAAGTCAATGACTTTGTTTAAGTAAAGACTTAATTTTTTACAAAGGTATATCCAAGGAAGAAAACATTCTTCAAAATCATTTTTTGATATCAAAAATTTTGAAATGTATATTGTCAACCATTCAATCTTATCTTTCGGTTTCCATCCATTGAATTTGATTGAATGATAAAGCCAAACATAACGGACATTAGTAGAACCTTTAATTATTAAATATTTTTCATCGTCGCTTAATATATTTTTACGAACATCTAATCTTGTCAACATTCTCCCTGAATTTATTAACTGATTTACGAAATAACTATCACAAGAAGTTTCGTATGAAGTTTTTCCATTATCAATCGAAATCATCCACCGTCGTTCATCAATAAATGATTTAATTTCATCTACAATTGATGATTGACTTTCATAAAAACATTCATAGAGTAACTTCTGAAAACAGTAATCGTCAGGAATATCTAAAGAAGAAAATAGTAAAAAAATTTTTATAACTATATATAATAGGGCGGGTCACTTTTAAAAATTTTTTGAATTTAGGTTCGGCTGGGCATTTTTCTTATGTTTTTGACCATATGATACTAAGAACCAATTCTCTTTTTATTTACATTTAATGTTTAGTTAGGTAATTGAAAATTTAAGTTTTATCATAAATATATCGTTTGCGCAAAGTTATGAAAAATGCTTTGCTACTACTCAATAAAATAAAGTCTAAAAAGATTTTTGAGCCTTAGTTAACCTAGTTACATCAATAATATATTAAAGTTACATCAAAAATTACAATTTTATGGTATATTAAGTCAATTCGCGTAATAAAACATTAAAATATTGTTAACAGCATTTTTCTGCATAATATTCTAAAATAAATTGTTTACTCATAATAAAAAGTTAAAATACTGATTACAAAATTTTAATCAGATCTTTCTTTGATTGGTACACAGGCATCAGCTCTCTATGAGCCATTGTAGCTCTTATAAACCCGTCTCTTCTCTCGGCACCACACACTGACATTGAAGCCCTGGTGACCTTTTTCACAATGCGTTCAATAGATTGACCGTGAATAGGGAAGTTCGGTACTATTATTGGATTATTAATAAACTGTATAATATCATCTTTCATCAAACAATAAGTAAGAACCGGTTCACTGATCTTCTAATAATAGAATAAACACCTGATGAACTCTGTTAACAATTTCAAGTTTTGTAGATCTTTGTTTTTTAAACCATGTTCTGAGCACCATATGGTATGTAGCGCACAAATAATCCAGATAAGTTTGAATTCTAGCTTTTTCTCTAAAAATTGAATAACTCCACCCATCCAACCGATAATAATTTTTTTTTCAGTAAAAAAAAAAAGTACATAAATTTTTAAACTACTATTTAAAGAAATAAAAATAAAACTTGTGTTAAGGTTAGTTGAATCTCCTCCAATTGCAACTTATTGGTTTTCAACGCCATGTGGTATTATCCAATCATATAGTTGTTCAGCAATATGTTCAGCAGGTGTTCGAGCTTCTCTCTTCTCTTAATTATTTACAAAATGGAATAAATATTTTTAACCAGGTTCAGAACAGACACTATAATGATCGTCTTTGATCTCTCTAGGGTAAGATTTACCATAATTGCCATATGCAACTGTTTTTGTAAGGTCTTTTCTACCATCGAACATTATACATTGTATGCCCTCTTCCTTTACTAGGTTGTTATGTCTCTCTTTACAGACCTTCATTACACTTTGCTTTAATCTCTCAATTTTTTCATGATCTAGAGCTAGGTGTTTATCAAGTATATGATCTTTCAAAAAACCTGCATCTTTGGCTGCTTTTAATGTTGCTGTGCCTATTGATGCAGTTGCTCTGTTACTTGTACCAAATCGTAATGCCGACAAAGCAATATGATTTACATTTAAGGTATTTAGCTGAGAAACTTTTTTTATTTCTGATGAATAAACATTGTCATTATAATCATTTTCAGCATTGTCTGACTCCACATCATTTTAAGATAATACTGTACAGTCTTGATCCTAACTCTCTTTGATTTGTTCTGCTTTTTTTGATGATGATTTTTTTGTCTGGATACTTCTTTTCTATCAACTGAACCTATTTGCATTCCACTTTTAGAACCAACTTTATCTCTCTGTGACTTTAAAAATTTAAGTACAATAATAGGAATTTGATTTTCCTGAGAACATTTGCAAACAATATGAAAAACTTGGTTGCAGCCATAACAATCGGATTCTTCGCATGATTTTATTGAGCATTTATACTTAGTTATGTCAAACAGTTTATCTAAGATTAATTTATGATCAGAAAATTGCTTAGATGTTCCCCTACCTAACGCTAGATTATATGCTTTTTTCCAGTCATATATGATTCTTTCTTTTCCTGTTTTATCAGAGAAAATAGGTATAAATGGATTAGCTTTTTTCCATAAATATTTTGCTGAGGTTCACAATTTTTCAGAAGTTAGTTTTAAATTTTGGGTGTTTTCTTCAATTCTTCTAAGAAAGAGACCGTATCTTAAAACATCTCTTAAAGTTAGTAGTTCTGACTCTAATAACGTTTTTCCTGTACCAATTAGCTTTGTTAATTTACATTTATCAAGAGTGTTTTGAGCCATTCTTTATAACTGTAAACTTATTTCTATACAATAAATACATCTGTTATTATTTCTTCTTTTTAATAACTAATAAAACAGTTACTAGTGGTCCGACTTTAGCATAAATAAATAAAATTTTCGGAAATACGTCATCAATACATTTTTCAAAATTAACTATTACCCATTTCTATGGTAAAATACTCCCCTAGCTTCTATAATTTAGGATCATATTTTGACATTTTTATTGATAATATAGATGTAGTTTAAGACATTTATTTGATTTAAAGTGGTTAGAAGATGATAAAAGTAAAAAAATCGACAAAACACTGGGGAAATTATATATTTATGATAAAACTAAAATTTTCAAGCTGAAAATTACCTGACTAAACATTAAATACAAATAAAAAGAGAATTGGTTCTCAGTATCATACGGTCAAAGAAATAAGAAAAATGCCCAGCCGAATCTGAATTCAAAATTTTTTTAAAAGTGACCCACCCTAATATACAATAGTAATAAAAGTTTTGTCTCAGAATAAAACTTCTTAGTTATTTGTTATTAAAAAAATGGCTTTTGTTTTAATTTTTTTAATTTTATATTAATACGGTTTATTATAACAAAATATTTCATAATATATAAAAAATAACAAGTAAAGAAAAAGAAATTTAAAAAATTTTATTTTAAAAATAACAAAAATATGTAAAAAGATATACACAAAAACCTAGATCATAAGTTTAAACTCGAGAGTTTTTTTATTAAACTGTGAGTCAAGTAAATACGGTATGTGACCACATTTTTAATTTATGCAAAGTCTACATTTTCTTTAAATAGAGTCAAGAAGATTTTGAAAAAATTCTAACGATAAACATATAACTCTTTTAAACCTTTTCTTAGTTCTTCAGCGGTTCAGGAGCTTTGGTCAGTATTTTGTTTCTTGCAAAATTGTAGGCGTTTGAGTCAATCTGATCGTTTAAGCATTTGGTTTTTTAGCATCAGAATACGAGCAAATTTTACGTTTTTCTATTTACTATCTGTCTTGAAATGTCATTATTAAGAGCTAGATTTATTTCTTAGGATTTTTTTCTGGCAATTTTTTATACACATTTTTTATGGTTGATGATTTTATACACTATTATATGGTTGATGATTTTATACACTATTATATGGTTGATGATTTTATACACTATTATATGGTTGATGATTTTATACACTATTATATAGTTGATGATTTTATACACTATTATATGGTTGGGGGACTAAAGAACATAAGTCAAAAAATCCGTATCGTTTTTTTATAATATCAACTTGAGTGTTTTTATTCAATACACAACTGTATCAAACCACATAAGCCATAAATATATTTAATACAAATGAAACTTCGCATTTTTTAAAATTAAAAATTAACAATATTTTCATTATAAATATACTTGTTGCTTGATATGGTTCAATTCAGTTTAGGTTCCAGTTTATTTAAAAAAAATCAATTTGAAAACCAAAAAAAAAACAAAACGGAGTTATTCTACTTTAAGTGCGATTTTGTTTGATATTAGGAAAATCTGCGGTAAAAGTTACTCACACTCCTTGCACGTGAATTCAATTGTTTCGTGATAATCTATAAAACAAGGGATACATGACCAGTTAAATACTTTTTGTATGCAACCCATTTGCTGCTTGTAGCTTTGTTCCAAAGTCTACCGCAGGAAATACAAAGACAATTGATATGGTAGGGATTACAACTGGCGGCAGGAAGACACTCAATATTTTGACTAATAGCCATCTTTGTTGTTTCGCTATATTTCTGAGACCGTGTTCTTAAGTTTTAAAGGGCTTCTTAAGTTTTAAAGGCTTTTTTCTTTTTTTTTTAAACTTTTGTTCTTTGAGAATTGCTACAAAAAGAGTCCAACTTTTTATCTCTAATAACTTTTCTGGCTTCTTTTTCATTTAGTTTTCTTTTCTTAACAGCTTGTGTAGCTTCGCCTGAGGCCATTGCAGACAGTTCAGTCATATTATAACTTGTTGTTCTTCTTATTATTGTTCCCTTTTCTTTACTACCAGAATAAGACTTTAATTTATCTCTAAGTACGCTGAGCACTGGTTTATTAATATCAAAAGATGCTTGTTTAACGGCATTTTTGAGGCTAACTAGTTCATTGATACTCTTTTGTTTAAAGTCTATTCATAGAGTTTATTGAATTTATTCTATTAATCTTATCGAGTGAAACGGTAGACTTACTAGAAATACAATTCTTAACTTTGTCATTTGTTACATCTTGTAAAACAGCGCCGATTGCAGTTTTAATTGGAGCTATTTTTAAACAATTGAGTGAAAATATACCTGTATTTTCAAAACCACTATGTGCATTTTCCGCTTTAAAGCCTTTATTTGCAATAAGGTCTTTTAGCGTAGCTGGAAACTTCCGGTTACTTAAACCAAGGAAATTTTATTAGATGGACGTTTAACGCATTGTTCATCATCATCATCAGAAGCGCTGCCAATTTCTGAAATCGCATAGAATTTTTTGGAATTTTTAGCGTCATTTTTTGAAATAATTTTACAAAATTAATCGACATTTAACCGACATTTTTGGTTTGCTGACTTCTTTCGGGAAATGTTTTATTACGCGTAAAATACTAACTTTTGCGAAATATAAATTCATTTTTGTTTTATTAAGAATGACGCATATATTTGAAAATATTTTAAGAGACAGCTGTCATTTTGATGTATAATCGTATAAAAGTATTTCCACGTGGCGCAAATGTTTCCTATTGTTTGGCTATTGTTATTCACAACAATTGCAAGCGCACATATCTTGGCTTTTAAACAATGAATTAAACGTCTATTTATTATTTATACGTCTTTACTTAA